ATTGGCAGTCTTTTCCAATCCCCCCCTCCCTTCCTTGGGACTTTCACTTCCTTGAGAAGAAAGTGCTCTTAAATCCATGCAGCCCTGCTGTCTGTAACAGTGGAGTCCAACTGTGCGGGGAATCAAACAGCTATCTTTCATGTGCAACAGGCTGTGTGTGCAAGTCGCACTTTGGAATAATGAGAGTAACAGGTTTCCAGCTCTTTTAATGAGTAAATGCAATTTTCAAAACTTTTAACTACTCTTTCCCAAGTTAATCTTTTATTTCTTTCCCGTGCCCCCTTCCTCATCATAAAAAAGAATATGGATGATACATTCACTTTTCCGCCTACCATGACTTTTTTTCCTTTCTTAAAAAAATAACAATAAATGTGGGAATCCTATTGTTAAATTTAACACAAAACTCTTATGTACTAGCTTCCAAGCTTCTGGGCAGATATAAGGAACCAATAATAAAACTACCCTCCGAACAGCCTCATTATTAAATGATATAATTTAACAAAGTGTAGATTAAAAGTTTATTTCCTCCAATGAATTTTTGGCTGTCTATTTTTACAAATAGAAGCCCTGAGGGCTGGCTTAGGGAGAATGATCCCACTGCAAATTAAATAGGTCAAAGCCCTATACTTTTTTGCCATTTTTTAAAAAAAATTCATGGGACAGATAGCACTAAATGAAATGCAATTATTTGTTCTAGAAATTATCTGGACCACGTTCTTCCCATAAAACTATTGCTCTATGATGTGTAACTGGACTTCATTCCAGTACTTTTGATTTATAGTTTGGGTTTGGTTTAGTTTGAGGGGGTGGAAACTGGGGAGCAGTAAGCAGGGACCATTAAAGCTGCCGGCTAGAGCAAATTTTCAGAGGTTATTAATTCTTAGAGATTCTTAAGCCAATGACCTGAGAAATGTTGAATGCAAGAAAAATATGCTCCAATAAAGATCTTTTTCTACTTGTATATACCACACACAAAAAAGCCCACCTTCCTTTACTACAGTGTATGTGTGTTTACTACAAAAAGAGAAACAAAAAAAAAAGTTTTATCAGAACTTATTAGGCCTTTAATTGCCCCCCCCTTTCTCTAAACAGGAATAGCAAATGAAAATCTATGTAAGGAAATTGAAAATAATGCTCACTAATTTTTTTTTAAAAAAATATTGCAACTATATCATGATGACAATTTTATCGTATTATTGCGCCTTCTTCCAAGAATTCCATGATAGTTTTCTGTGAGCCGGATCCTATTCTCATACCAACCCAATGAGATGGCAAAAGCTGTGGGAAGGCGTTGAAGCAAAATTTACTCAGTGGTTGCGGGGAAAATTGAACATAAGAGCAACTCTGCTGGATCAGACCAAAAGGTCAATTTGGTTTAACATGAAATTTCCTACAGTGGTCAATGAGATTCCTCATGGAAAACTCACCATTGATGTATGAAAGCATTTCATCCTCTCCTGATGTTCTTCCCAGTGACTAATATTCAAAGAAATGTTGCCTCTGATCCTGGATGTAGTATATCTATCATGATTAATAGCCAATGATAGCCTTTTCCCCATGGATTTGCGTAACAGGCCTGAATGAGCAAAGAATCTCCAGATCTGCTTTTCAAAGCAGCTACAGCTTTCCCACATAGCCTGTCTATTGACACATTGACATTGACACAATCTTCCTGTTTCAGAAATAACATCACATTTGAATCCTCGGATGACTTGGAAAGAAATTTGCGGATTGCCACCTGAAGAGCTTTCCTCTTAAGAGTGTCAGGTGACTATTTTAGAAATCAGTTTGTATTTCCAAAGAGCCATTTTAAAAAAAATAAATAAAACAAAATTGGAGGAAGGTAAGTCCTTGAAATTGCCACATATGTTTTAAGTAGTTTCTGCTATTAAAACCTATTTGATTAGAAGGGAGAACTTGTTAAGTCTGCTCAACTTGTTTTGAATCTGGTAGTACCCATCAGCTGACATTTTCTTGCCAATTTGCTCAAACAGATATGCTTCATAAGGATTCAGAAGCAGAAAGAAAACATTGATTATCCACTGAATAAAAGTGTCAAAACCATATTGTTGAGTAACACTTATGAAATATTTTTGACCTTCCAGTAGACTTTGCCTTTATGATAACAATGAATAAATAAATTGCTGTCATCATGTTTAGAATGTCTATGCATGAGTAGAGCTACTGAGGCTGTTTCCAAGAATTTTCATACATGTTCATCATCAAATTATGTCCATTCCATTCACCTTTGACTCTGCATTTAATTTCAACAAAGCAATGCCTGGCAAAATACTACTGACGATAATGTCTGTTTAATATAGGTCCTAGCAGACTATTAAAGCTATTCCCCCAGATACCAAAACAAACAATAACCTATAAGATAACTATGGAGCAATGTACTGAGGATTGAAATTCCCCAAACATCTGATCCAACTTTTATTTTTTGTCCCCATCAGCTTCCCTTGTACTTCCTTAATGGTAAAATTGGCTCATCTCCCCCTTTCCCACCCAGCTCCACACTCTAGTTATTTAGAAGACCTTTTATCCCAAGGTTAAAACAAACAAGAGAGAAAGAAACCTTGATTCCTTAAGGGCTTTTCTTCAGCGCTTCTCATTTTTTACAGAGTTCTTTCGCCATATGAACTAATTATAATTCAAAGGTAAATAGAAATATCATTAAATAGCCATCTGAGAATTTATAACATTTTTAAAGCCGATTTCAGATGGCTGTGGGCACTTTCGCAGGAGGATTCTGCACTAGTTTTAAGGCACTCTGGACTACTCCACTATGTAGCTATGAGCCAATTTCCATCACAACACAGTGGCATGTTTAAAACTGCAGTAAAATGATTCCATGCTTTAAACCATTGAAGCTTTATGCGGCTTGTGGGTGGCCTGTTCCCTCACCATGTGTCCTGGGCTTCTATACTTCAAAATAAAAAGTGGTTTAATGTTTTTTAGGTCCTCCGCATTACAAAAACCTGGGTGAGTTGTTTATTGTGTTCAATCAAATAATTGTACACAAAACAAAGGGAAAACCTGTACAGGTGTGGTATATGCAAGCAATTTATTTCATTCCCTTTTGTGTGAAGTGGAGAGTAAGGGGAATTTTGTTACTGTAGAACCTATGACAGTTCAGGAGTGAGCAGTGATTTTTGCTCTTTGTTCTTAGCGTTTTGAAGTCAGCAGATCTGAAGACAGTCAAGTGATCTTGGAACATCGCCAGACTATTTCTGAGTGAATGGGAGAAGAAGCAGTGATACTCTGGAACTTCAAGAAAAGTTAAACTTTTCTTGAAAAATATTCACTCACTCAGAATCCAATTTATATATGAGAGTGAGTTCTTTACTTTTTCTTTTAGCTAGCATTTGCAGCACCTTAATATCCTGAACTAAAACAAAAGGTACACATTTCATTCACATGCACCATCTCTCTCCCCCCCCCCTCTCTCTCACACACACACACACACTTCTAAACAGAATATCCTGAGCTTCTGCCCCATGTCAAAAACATTTTCATTCTTTGGAATTAAAGTAGAATTCCTTTTTTGCTTGTATCCTCCTTTGAAAATCCATTCTGAAAAGAGAATCCCTTGATTCTTCAGGATCAAGGTTTATGTGAGAAGTATAGATGGAGGATGGAAGATCTCAAGTGTGTATGGCTTTCTTTTAATGTCTTCATCCCAAAACGTAGCTTGACTGCATCAATGATCTTCCACAAATCATAATATTTATACTTTTTTTTAATTAATAAAGCAAAATTCCACTCCTAAGAACAAACCATTCAAAATGTCCCTTCAGTGTATTAAAACATAGGAACATCAAACATTTCATTTCTTTATCCCAAGTAAAACTACCTGTAGTATTTAATGCATATTGTGAAACTCTGTATGGGATGATTTTCTTCTCAAAACAAAGGCTCTATGGAGAAAAGACCAGAAGATCTATGAAAGGATTTTTTTTTTCTTGCAACCCAACTTTCTTTTCTAAAAATGTCGCCCAGTAAGGCAAAAAAATAATAATAATAATCTATGATGCTTTGCTTTCTTATAAGGTAATTTTATCATTTAGACAAAAACAGGACAAATTTAAGGAAGCCTTAATCATTGCTCAAACTCATAGGAATTTTTTCCTACAAAACCTTCCTATAAAATTGTAAATGGTTTATCAAAAAACATAATGTAATCCACCATATTTTAGGGAGATGGTATTCTACATTCAGGATTTCCCCATTGATAAGTTCCTCACATATTACTCTGTGTTGTATTTTATTTATAGTAATGATGAGATGAAATCGAAGAATATGGAAGATTTGCATAATGAGTAATGTTCTTGAAGTTACCCAGAACCCAAACTGTTTATAGTTCTGTTTTCTAATACAATATTTGATTTTGGCTTGAAAACTAATAGGCAAGCATTCCAAATATTTTAAAATGGGTATTACATGTTCCATAATTATTGTTCTTATCAGCACCTTGGCAACTAGTTTCCAGATGATATATGAGTTCACCAGTGTAATATTTCTCCATTCCTTTTTCTCTGTTTTACTGTAACTTGGTACCTCACTCTGCTTTGTAATGATTGTGTACCATCTGGAACTGGATCTTTTGATTAGTCATATATAATTATTTATTGTAGCTGTTCTGTTTATGGAACTTTAAATAATAAAACAATTTTACAACAACCAAGAAGCATTTATCAGAATCATATATGGTGGTGCAGACTGGTTCAAGATTGGAAAAGGTCTCTTGGGGCTGAATTTGATGTCCATTTCTATTCCATATACGTATAGTGGCAATTTTGAAGAACTTTTATTTAGATAGAAATTGGAAAACAAACTGGTTGAAGGAACATTAGCAATCTAAAATATGCAGACACCACCACTCTACTGATAATAAATGGTTTCCCCTGCCCCAAAATATCTGGATTGCAGCTAAAAATCAAGAAGACTAGAGTAATGACAAAAGCTGGACATCAAATGAAAAATTGACAACAAAGACATTGAATCCACCCAGAACTTTATTTTTATCAACTGAAACTCAACACTGGAGTTGAAATTAAATATACAATATCATTTGAGTGCATTGCATTGACTAGCATTGAGAAGATTACCGAAAAGCAAGATTTTGAATACAAAATAGTTCATAGTATTTGGAACTGTCCACTTCAAAATGCGAGACAATTGTTTCACTCCTGGGACAAAATGCATTTGAGACATTGTGTATGCCCCCATACCATCCATTTACCTGAAAACACAGAGCATAGAGGAAACTTTAATTTTATAGTTCTCAACGATGATATTATGGAAAATCCTCTCCATATCATAGTGATTTTCCCAGCCTCATCAACTTTAAGATGCAGGGACTTCAACTCCCAGAATTCTAGTCATGCATCTTAAAACTGATAAGGTTGAGAAATACTGCACAATCACAATAAATATTAAGGAAAGTTCTCATCAACACAAAAAAACTTGTTTGTTTGCACTATTTGCTTCAAGGAAAAGTATTATTTTTCATTGCCCCGAATGGGGATGATGGAATACAGGTCAGGTTAGAAGCATTAAACTACTTCTTCTTATATACTGGGTATGCTCAGCAGGTGGAAGCACCTGGCTGACTTTATTGGGCATTTATTTAAGCACAATTGGGCATAGTTAGTACTTGGAAGGCAAAACACCAGAGACTGCCAGAGTGTAGACTAGACTAGTATTTCCAAAAGGTATTTATGTTGTCTTATGAATCGCCTGAGATAAGGGATCAGTCTACATTGGAAAACAATATAAACATGTCTTAAATAAATCAGAATTTATTTCCATTTAGACCTAGGGACAAGTTTTACGGGATGGTGCTGATTACTATAAATTGGCTATGTTTTTTAAATGTAAAATAAGTTGAAAGAAGGCAATTGCAGATCACTTCCATATTGTTGCTGTACTGTACAAAGTGATTGGGTGGGTGGGGGGACTCAACTCTCATCCTACATTGCTGAGGTCTAGGTTGAAGGCATTTCCTATACTGAGGATAATATAAGACTTCCTATACTTTTGGCATCTAAAGAAGTTGTCAAATTTGCCTTACTCCAGTATTTTGTAAAGTGTGGTCTTGAGGCCTACTGGGGGGTGTCCCCCAAGACCCTCTTAGGGGTCCACAAAAATCAAGATTATTTCCCAACCTACGTTGAAAAATGATACAATATTAAAATCCCATCAAACAATCATGAGAGCTGGTAGCAAAATGCATCAATTTTAATCTTTAACATGCTAAATATCGATAAATATATAACCCATACAAATAAATGTTCTTTTGGGATCCCCCATAATTTTTTTTAAAATGGGAAGAGATCTTGAGAGAAAAAAAATGTTAAAGAAACACTGCCCTAGTCAAAGCCAGATTTCTCCAATCCGAATCTTTCAAGCTGCCCTGAGTCTTCGGAGAGGGGTGGCATATAAATTGAATTAATTAAATTAATTCAATATGTCCTGGAATTAACTCCCATAATTCCCATTAAAAGAAAAAAAAAATCAAATACATATTGGAAAGATAACAAGTTGGGGAACACTGGTCAAAAGTTCTTAAAAGCCAAGCCATTCCCCCACTTCTTAATTTAAAAAAAAATAAATTACAAAAAAACCCCATTCCTAACAGTTTTTCAATTGCCAGAATTTGACAGGCATTTATGAACGCAGCAGAGATGGCAGTGCCTATGTTTGGGGACACCCCCAGCCATCACACCCAGTTGTACAAAACGAATCGTACCAGGTTGAAAAATCCAAAATATTAGGAAAACTTAAACCAAGCTTTTTCTTCAGCCAGGCTGAAGGGAACGAAACGAGGAGAAACGCCCGTGAACTTAAACTCTTGTCACAATCGGCTCTTTTTCCAATGAAATCCTTCATACCCACAGAACGGAGAGGCCTCCGGATGAAGGGATCGTATGTTCTTCTGCGGAGGAAACATTAAGAGAGTCCCAGTGTTAAAGTCTACCGCGACTATTCAGACATTCCCACCATGAGTTTAAGAACTCAGCCCAGGCGGATCACTCTGGATTAATCTCGTAACGAGGAAACAGAAGCATACATGAGGCGGTGGCTGAATTGTTGGTTTTCCACACACCCCCCGACAGTGGGTGGCCGGAGGGAAGCGGGACTCCCCGGCCTTAACCAGAGGGAAAAAAAATTAAATTAAATTAAAAAGGCGACCCATTTTGTTTTTGCCCCCCCCTTCCACGCTGTGGAGAGAGGCGGCCACGGAGGCGAAGAGGCAGCTCAGGCGAAGAGTAAACCTCGTTATAACTACAAGCGGGAAGCAAGCGCGTCTTTGCAACTCGGCGTGGTTTCGCGCCTGGGTTGGAGCTCTGCGGCCGGGATAGAATTTTACTGGGGAGGAAAAGAGAAAGGTGTGCGTGTTTGTGTGTGTGTGTGTGTGAGTTGAAAGTTCTGGCGAAGGCGGCGGGAGGAGGGGGAGGAAGGGTGGGAAGGGTGGGAAGGGAAGACGGGAAAAACCGAGGCTGGGTCGCTTTGTGTTTTACCTCCGGGAAGCCCGAGCGAGCGGACGGCCCAGAAGAGGGTGCCATAGTTCGCCGCTTACCGCCAGCGCCTCGCGGGACAGGACCCGGCGACATGGCCCTATAAGGCAACTTTGGGGAAGGCTCGGCCGCCCTTTCCCCGCTTTCTCCCGCGCGGCCGCTCTGGAGGGAAGCCGCCTTCTAGCCGCGGAGGGTTAATTAGGTCTGAGTGGATCCGAGAGAAAAAGAAGCAAAAGACATGTGGGGGTGGGGGGGTAGAGACACACGGAGCACTGTATTACAGCGGTGGAAAACACACACACAAAACAGTTTCGCTGTGAGAAAACTAATGGTGCTTTTATCAGGAACAGGATAAGATTGCTTTTTTTCCCCCTCCTCTCTCTCTCTCTCTCCCTTCCTTCCCCCGACTAGCGTGCGGGTCCCACCGGGTTTGGGGTATGAGATATTTCTGTATCTAGCTCGAGGTTCCTCCTGAGCTTTTACATAATCAAATCAATATAGCTATGATTCACCCTCTGGCAAAGCGCTGCTCTTTGCAAGTTGCCGCCGCCGCCGCCGCTTCTTTTAGGGACTGGGGACTAAATAAATAAACAAACAAACGGGGGGGTGGGGAGAGGGAGGGAGGGGGGGTGCCCGAAAGAAACTTATTACAGATCCGCAAACATTGATTTGTTTGGAGTTTAGATGTATACTTTCGCCAAATCCCAAGGCGTCTGAAAGGGGAGGAGGAGGAGGGAGTGGAGAGGTTAGAAGATAGAAAGAAGCGGCGGTCATCACCGGCGGAGGCCCGGGTTGTTGACGCGTGTTTTGGGGCGGGCGGAGGGATTGAGAGTCAGCCATGGAGAAGGACGGCAGGCGGGGAGGTGTTCGCGGATGGCGAAAGCGTGTCCTCTTCCTGGATTGTGGGAATCTTCCCACTTCTGGATCCGGGATCCTCCAACCAACCTGAGGGTCATCAGAAAGCCACCAAGCTAAGGACGGATGCCGTACGAAGATGCGCTCTGCCTGTCTTGCGGGGAATCCTCCTCTCTTCTCTCCAGCCTAAAATTTATGCAACTATTTTTTTTTGTGCACGAGCTCTTAGCCCTGTGACTCTGGCCTCTGAGATGCTTCTCGTTCTTGTTATTTGGTTCCAGCTTTTCTGTGGAAACGCTGGGCTGTTTTAGGTTCTCAGCCTGGTATGTGAGAACCCAGCAGCTAAATAATAAATAATAACAAGTATCCTGAAGATTCTAGTGCCTTGAACACCACTTTTGTGTCTCATAATCTTACTTCATTTTTAAAAAAACGATATAAATTTGTTTTACACCAGGAAAACACCATCTGACAAGCTGAGTCTAGCCTTATTTTTCTTTATATATATAAAAAAGTGATTGGGTTTCTACATTGACCCCTAAGCACCTTTAGAAAATAATTTTTAAAAAGCTTCACCAAACTCATCCTACTGCTCTCTTTAAAATGGATTCACCTGCTCAGAAAAGAATAAGACAAAAGTAAATTAGATTGAAATGTCTTTGAATATTGAATTCGCAACAGTGAATTAAAAAGCACCTAGCCCCCAAAGAAGTATTTACTTCTTGCATGCAGAGGATAAATATGCAGTGGAGCTTTTTCTCAGCAAAGAAGAAATGTGGTGGGGAAAACAGTGCAATGTATGCAAACAGGTTCGGCAGTCCAGTAGTTCACCTTCAGACAAGATATAAAGGTAAAGGTTCCCCTCGCACATATGTGCTAGTCATCCCAACTCTAGGGGGCGGTGCTCATCTCCATTTCAAAGCCGAAGAGCCAGCGCTGTCCAAAGACGTCTCCATGGTCATGTGGCCGGCATGACTAAACGCCAAAGGCGCACAGAACCTTCCCACCAAAGGTGGTCCCTATTTTTCTACTTGCATTTTTTAAGTGCTTTCGAACTGCTAGGTTGGCAGAAGCTGGGACAAGTAACTGGAGCTCACCCCATTATGCGGCACTGTGTCCCTCTCAGACAAGATATACAAGGGATTAAATCCTCATTAGAACCTGAGATATTGGAGCTGTTTCTGCAGGCTTTGTTTCTTAGGAGCCAACAACTCTCTCTAAGGATCTGGCACACTTTCACATAACTGTTGTTAGGAAGGCCAGAATCTAGAAAGCAGTAGCAAGATAGACGAGTGTTAACAAAAACAAAAATTTAAGAGTGGAATCTTAATCCTTGCCTTCTGGGTTTTCCTTTCTGGATTCTTTTTTTGGGTTCTTCTATCTTGTCTAGTTTTGTTATTTGTCAGAAGTTTATTCTTTCTCCTATCAGCATCCTCACCACACTCTTCTGCTTAATTTCAACCCCCATTTTGGGGGCTTGCTGGTACAGAAATTGAACTTGTGCAGCACATTCTGTATAAATGACATCTCTAAGGATGCTGTTATCTTATTTTCCCTCGGGTGACATTTCTATCAAGCTTCAAAAAGAAAGAATGATAACAAAATAATCTTTAATTTGAAACACATAGACACATGCCCATTATAGGTATATATGTGCAAATATATATTTGCATTTTTTTAAATCAATCAGATCACTTGGGACTACCTGTAGTTGTTCAGGGTACAACTTTACCTGTATACCTGTTCATGTCCTAGTGTTCAGTTTCCCAGATGTAAAGTGGGATTAATAATCTTTACCACCGGTGAGTGAATACAGTCAAGTTTAATTAATGTTTTCAAAGCACATGGAGGTCTTTTGATGGAAGATGCTTAAAAATTGCTAAGTAAGTACAATGATCCCCGAGGCTTTATTATTATGAGAGAAAGAGAGAGAGAGCACGCTCAGCATGATGTGATTTTCAGCCTTCTCTTTTAATCCTCCGTTTTGTATTACTTGTTTTCTCATAAGCACATACTGAACATACTGAAAAAGATCAGCATAGAGAATGGAGTGTCATTGTGTTTTCCATGCATGAACCAAGATAGAAACACAAGTCTCCAAACATCATCTAGTGGAAACTGGAGGGCGTTTTTTTTTTTTTTTTTTTACATGTGGCTTTAATTCTACTCAGAATATTCCCACTGGTTGAAGAGGTGAAGCAATTCTCACTAATTGCTCCCCCTTTTGTAACCCCAGTGCTACCTTGCCCTCTTCCATGCAGAATTCCCAACCCCACTGAAGTAGGTAAATGTGAAAGCTTTAGGGAAAGAAGGGAATTAATGAAAATCATCTCCTTTTTTTTATCACGGAGATTCCCTTGCTGGATGGAAGAAAATGAGCTGTTGCTTCTCTAGGAAGCTTATGGTGGTTCCCATCAGTGGATTACAGAAGAAATGGATCTGCAGAATTGATTCAAAAAGACCAATTAAGAAATAGTATGCTTAATGAAGTTCAAGTCCTGTGTTGTCCACAGATTCACCAATCTGGAAATGTTAAATTCAACATACCATAGTACTTGTAATAATAGTAGTAATAATAGCAATATCAGTCTCAGTTCTCAGCTTCATTTTCATGGTTTTAACATTTTGGAGGAGGCTTTGACTTGTTTGTAAATTGGACCATGTATACCTCATAAAGCATTTTATCTATTTAAAACTACTTTTACATTATGTTCTCTATTTATTTGTATTTCTAGAACCAGAGTCCTAATCCACATGTCAGTTTGGATTGCTCTAGCTATTAGAGATAGTGAAAAAGAAATCTACTTAATGGCAAACCACATGATTAGTATAACATGCAGTGTGAGCATAGACTATCTTGTTGTATATTTTTGCAATTTTAACTTAATTCACCACGTTAAATGAGCTCTGAGTTTCAGTATCTGCTTTAAGTGGATTCCTGAAAGTAGGCACATGGTTTCCTACAATTTTGCAATGAGAATAATATAAGTCTTAGGAAGCCTTGATATATTACAAAACAAAACAAAACAACAAAACAAAACAAAACAAAACAAAACAAAACAAAACAAAACACCCTTTCCCCTGATTCTTTGTCATGAAACACTGGAGCAAACAAAATTCTGACTCCATCCATACGAACCTACTTTATTGCCTTCAAAGTGGTTTATTGCATATTACTGTAGTTTTAATTCTAAAAGCATTTTAGGATTAACATTTACTGATTTCCCCACTCTTCTACATTGTTTAGTCATTGCCTCAGTGACAGTTGAATGGAATGTGACTTTACTAAAAAATTCCCATTTATGCATGCTTTTAGCAGTATTTGGATATTCTCATCTCCAACCACATTTTTTTAAAAAAATAATTTCTACTGTGTAAGGGTCCATGCGTTTAGTAAATGTAATTAGCCACAGTGATGCCTGTAAAGTTTCTTTAGTGTTTAATTAAATAAAAGATTGGAATATATAACAACTAGTAGGGCAGAACTGATGAAGAATGAAAACACATAGTTCTTATAAAGTTAATAAGGTGCATAGACTGACTATGTAAGCCAGGGGATCATGTGAAGCAGCCAGTATTTCAAAACAAATCAAGCTTTTTCCCCAGCGGTATTTTTCCTTTGTTTTTGAGATTAAAAGGGAAATCTATAATGTGCATGCTTCAAATACAACCCTTGCATCTGGGAGCCCGTGGCAATAACTCATCACAGTAGGAAAATTTAGGATAGAGGTAACGAAGATAGTAGTAGAAATGGAGTTTTTGGCAGAACTCTAGCGAATGAAACCAGGAGATATCTCAGCCTCTGGAGAATTGTTTTTCCCAACCTGAAGTAACAGTCCAAACACTTCCAATAGCTGAGTTAGGAACTTATATTTTAATAATGATTTT